CTCTCTCTCTCTCTCTCTCTCTCTCTCTCTCTCTCTCTATCTATCTCTATCTATCTATCGCCTTCCAAATGAGGGGAGTGAGCCAGGAAAAATTCTCCTCTCTCTCCTTCTTCTCCCCTCCATCTATATCTGTGAACAAAACAGAAAACAAGGTTCCTTCATCCCAGGAGAACAGCCCTTTCCCACAAGCTGGGTGAGCGTGGGAATAAAACCTGCCCAACCCGCCCCAGATGATCAGGAGCCCAGTGGGCGCTGCTCAGTGCAACCCTAGCGCTTCGTCCCTGGCCCCCTCTGGATGAGGTGGTCTCCTTCTCTGAAATCAGAGGGACAAAACTGAGGCAGGGAGAAAGACTTTGGCGCTAGGATCCATGCGGAGAAAGCTGCCCCAGCCGCCCCGGCCGCAGGATCCGGCCCTCGGAGGGGGCTGGGTGGGAAGGAGCAGGGAGCTGGGCTGCAAGGCGCAGGATCGCTCCCTTTAACTTTCAGTTCCTTCGAGTTATCCAGTTCTGTGAATGGTGTTCACCGTTTTCCGCCTCGTATCCAGTAGGATTTAGTGAAGAGGATAATGATGCCAAAGACTTGATGGCTGGGGAGGGAGGGAGGAAAGGGAGCGGGGGGGGAGGGAGGGAGGGAAACAGAGCGGGAGGGAGGTGGAATTTCATTTCTTCCACTAAAGCGTTTGCGGAGACTTCAAGGTATAATCTATCCCAGATCCTTTCCCAGAGAGAAACTTGGCGATCACGTTTCCACATGATGCTCACGTTTGGTGCTCTTCAATTATCCCTCCCCACAAAGATAGGTGGCGTGTGTTTCAGGGTCTCTCCTCTCTCTCCTACAGAAAAGAAAAAGAAAAAAATGTCATTAGAAGAGGCGTAACACGTCAGCCCGTCCCCAGGTTTGTGTTTCCTGGAGTGGCAGAAAGAGATCAGTCCTAACCTGCCCAGCAGGAATAACGGTCCTTCCGACAACTCTTTTGCAAGGCTTTTTACCATTTCTCCAGGAGCTGCATCTCCCCGCACCTTTTCTCCTCCACTTCGCGGCTTCTTCATGCTTTTTCTCCTCCCCATTTCTGGCCAAAACTACAACCAAGACTTCGCAGGTAGGTTCAGGATTTAATTTCATTTTACTTCTCTCCCCCCACCCCCACCCCCTCAGCCCTTCTGGGTGCCCTGTCTCCTGTGTGGTACGTGGATTTCGAGGCTGTGGGGGGGGGTTTCTGCAGCTTGTTTGTAGCAGGGGAATCTCATTCTGGACTGAAAGCCAAAGTCACTTGGCATCAATTGCAAGAGGGGTTAGTTCTTCCATGGCAGACCCTGGGCTGCTGGTGTCCAGCACAGCCCACCTCCACCACCTGCCCAGCCAGGTACAAGAGGTGTCCTTTGCAAATCTGATACTGAAGTTCCTGAGCAAGGACAGGGATTTTATTCCCCTTTCCAAACAACAAAAAATCCCTCCCTGCTCTTCTGGTTCAGGATTCACACACAGTCAGCTTAAAGTTTGCATGTACCTGTTAATGGCTTGCACACTCTGAGCAGGGCTGGACAGGAATTTTTTTTAGCTGGAGCCTGCTTTAGGACTCCCAGAAAAGCTGTGTGTTTCCCCAGGCAGAAAGTTTGCTGTTTTGTCTGCCTGGCAAGTTTCATTTCTTGATTTTATTTCGTGAGACGGGGTGAAGAAACACCTTAGGTTCTGGGATCCTAAAGAAAGAAGTGAAAGTAGGGACTGGAACTTAAAAGTCGTTTACCAAAAATGATATTAACAGTCATGTTCCTTTGGGAAGAAAGCCATTCTCCAACATCAGAAATTGCCAACTTTTCTTCCTGAGTGCTAAGGAGCAGGGCAGGCACTGAACTGCATTTCAGACAATTCACCATTGGTGCTTTTGCATTATTACGCCAGTTGCCGAGAAAAGCTCCCAGGTCCTGGCTTTTCTGAATTTGTTTCTCTCTCACCTACTTTCTTCTGCCCTGTCTCTCTGATGCTGCAGACGTTGCAAACTTCCCAGTCAGAAATAACTGTTCAATATAAAGTTTATTGCACATTTTCTCAGTCTGTCCTTGCCTCTCACACCCCACTCCCCTGCACAGATCTGCCCCTGTACTTAGTCAATATGGATTCAGATTGCAGCACAGTGAGTAAACAGGCTCATCCTGTGCTCCATCTGCATGTCCACACACACTTACCTGTACAGGGAATTGTTTTAGCCGACCTTGTTTTAGGACCAAGGGGCTCTGGAAGGAGAGCTGAGGCAAAATAAAAGGCGGAGGAGCAGCCCAGTGAACTGATCACTCTTGCTGGCATTCTCTCTTCAGGTCAGAATGCAAAATAAAAGCTAAATCCACTTGGGTTCAGAAAAAAAGGTTGAGACAGGTACTCAGTTTCTAGGTTTTGTGCAAAGCTGAGGCTATAGGAGTAGACAATAGATGCTGAGGTTAGGCTGGATTTTGTTCAGAAGAGCAAGGGTTAATTGCCCTTGTTTTACAGTTTGCATCTGTTACATCTTTTATAGCCCCCTGTTTAAACTAATCCTCGAGTCAAAGCATCTTTAAAGCTACAGCATCTTCTTCAAGATGGACTGAGTTGCAGGAGCCTTGTGTCAGGCAAACCAAGTGCTCCTCCACTCTCCTTTTGACAGGCTCTGTCTCGTTTGGAGCCTGTCTGTACACAGAAATAGGTACAAAAGTTTACAAGTCAGAGAGCCACTGGGAGCCTGAAAACCCTGACAGCACTAGTTTTGATTTCTGTTTCTTTTCTGGGGGGGAAAAAAATGACACACTGAAGCTTTGTTTAACTTAAGGGGCAGGGGGGAAACCCTGCAATGAATATTGTCAAACTGACTAAAAAAGTGACAGAGGTTTATAATTACACGACTCATTGTTAAGCAGTGAAAGAGGGGGATAGGAGTGAGGTCTCAATCCTGGGCTTTACCTCCACGAGGGGGGGGAGGTCTGTTTCCCAGCTGCTCTTATCAGTTTGCTGAAGTGTACTTAAAAAATAATAATAACAACATTTCATGTGAAAACGAGTCCCCGTGTCAAGCTAAAGTACTTTTAGGAGGAAATGTTCCGCCTAGCATTGAGTCAAGCAGCCTACTGTAAAAAGCCTGTGCATTCCCTCATACGGTCATGAGTTATGAGTCATTTTCTGAAGATGTAATTCTTGTCTCTCTCATCTCTGGTGCAACACACACCAAAAAAAAAAAAGAAAGAAAGAAAAGAAAAAGAAAGAAAGAAAGAAAGAAAGAAAGAGAAAAAAAAGAAAGAGAAAGAAATCCAAAAATCCAAACCTGGCCGGCTGGGGAGGGAGGGGGCTGAGCTGTGTCCTCGCCTCCCCCAGCGCGGCAAGTCCTCGCCCTGTGTGCGCCTGGGCTCTTTTTTGGGTGAATATTCGGGTTCCTTTGGCGCCCTGCATTTAAACGGGATATACCAATGCCCACATTGTTGCTGTGTTTGGTTGTTACATAGAGTCTGCGTGCTGCTGAATCAGGGAGTCGAGTCCATGCGAACTGCCATCTGATCCACTCTTATCAATGAAGCAGCAGATCATGGCGGATGGCCCCAGGTGTAAGAGGCGAAAACAGCCCAATCCAAGAAGGAAAAACGGTAAGAAAAACCCGAATCAAACTTTTCCTTTTGACTCCAGCGGAGAGAGGGGAGGGG